TATATATAATGTGTGTGTGTATATATGTGTATATATATATATATATATACACACACACACACATCTGCTTTCACTGTTACACTGACCAAACATCTGCTGCCCATCATTGTGCTATACACCCCACTAGGGTTCCAAATTTTAATCATATTCATTTATTTTACTTAAAGGAGTCACGTTCAGAACCAATCATCCTCATCCTTAGTTTGTCAAATACATTCATGCAGCATGAAAGATGAAACGAAACATGATTGTATACACTAGAATGAATAGATACATAATGAGAGGAAGATTAAGACATCTCCCGCTACTTTAATCAGAAAAATTCTGCATCACTGCAAAATCACCATTAGTTCTGTCAAGCAAAGTGTCCTTTTAGGTTTGTTTAGCCTTTCCGGCTATCACACATAGATCAGAAGTGTTTAGCATGCATTTGGTGAATATACATTTTAAGAAAATATTATTTGTTGACACTTTTTTTTGCACCTGCAAGACATGTTGTAATTGAAAATATAAAAGTGCACTATACAATTATGAATTAATGAGGACTAATAAATAAAATTCAAGTTGGTTTATTGCGCACAATTATCAAGTAACGGCAACATTACTCAACAAAGCCTGATGTAAATGTGGTGTCAAGCTAGAACATTTTTTGAAGAAGAACTCCAGAATTTTTTTAAATTAATTCTTGCAGTGCATACGTGTACTGCAAATGTTGACTGCTCATTTTTCTCTAGGGATGAAAAAAAGAAGGAAATACTCACCTTATCCTCGGCCCTGTGGCTGTGATCACTCACCTCTCTTCCTCTCCGCTCCAGCTGCAGAATGTCCCTTGGCATCCTCACATTTAAACAACTGCATTAGATGTGATGATGTCATGGGTCCTTAGACTCCCAGAGCCCGGGGGAGAAGAGGCTGCAGGGAACAGTCTAACAGCGAGGCAGGATCAAGGACTGGGTGAGTATTTCGGGGCTTACCACACTACAAGGATTCATTTGTTAAAAATCCTGGAGTTCTTCTTTAAGCAGTAACAGGTACATTTTCAATATGGTTTAAATTATTCCACAATGTACAAACGTTCCAAAATATGGGGAGTATTGAATGAACAAAAGGAAAATGCTCTGGTGGCTATTCTCAGGAAGAGAAAATATTCCTTAATGACACCAAGAAAATTGGTCATATAAATTCCATGAAATAAGGACTGCTTGTTTTAGGCATCTCTATCATGCTTATAAATCACTTCTAACTATAGTTATATAAGGGAGTTGCTATAAGAAAGAAATTCAATTCATGTTTAAATTTGGTTTAGCATTTAGCCAAAAAATGAATTCTGAACTTAAAGCTGAACTCCAGGCAGATATGTACAAAACACAATCAGGACTAGGGGATTACAGGATCGGCAGAGGAGGACCTGATGGAGAACTTTCTCCTTTAGGTCCCACCTCTGCTGATTGACAGCAGGCAGTGAGCGGGTGCGATAGCCAGCCTGCTAATGGCTATTTTAAATTGCAATAGCCAATAGCAAACTGGCTATTGCACACACCCACTACCTGCTGTGTTTACATTCCCTGGCCGAAGCTATTCAGGCTATGTGTGCTTGAATAGCTCCTTAGAAGTGGAAAGGTGACCCTAGGGGTCTCACAGACCCCAATGTCATCTTAAAGAGAACCTGATCAATTTGATCCTAGTCATCTTAAAGAGAACCTGTCATCTCCAATGTGCCTTCACATATGGGGTTTCTGCAACTAATGATTATTTTCATAATCGATTAGTTGCCCGATAATTTTTTTAATTTAATCGGATGATTTAAAACAATGAAATACCATCTTTAATAATTTAAAAATATACAAATGGAGTGTTACAAAAAGAAAGTTTACTTCAGAATAAAACTGCATGCACAATTTTTTGCAATCACATTGCACTGGATCGCACTGAGGGTAGGAGGTGTGTTTGCACGCATTTGTGGGGGGTCTGGGGCTTTACTTTTTTTTGTACTTTTAAATTTATTTTATTTACTTTTATTTTTTTAAATTTTTTTGTTAACTTTATTTCTATCACATAGTGGGGCCCAAAAACCCCATATGTGAAGGCACATTGGAGATGACAGGTTCTCTTTAAGATGACTAGGATCAAATTGATCAGGTTCTCTTTAAGATGACATTGGGGTCTGTGAGACCCCTAGGGTCACCTTTCCACTTCTAAGGAGCTATTCAAGCACATATAGCCTGAATAGCTTCGGCCAGGGAATGTAAACACAGCAGGTAGGGGGGGTGTGCAATAGCCAGTTTGCTCTTGCCCACACCCAATGTCATCTTAAAGAGAACCTGATCAATTTGATCCTAGTCATCTTAAAGAGAACCTGTCATCTCCAATGTGCCTTCACATATGGGGTTTCTGCAACTAATGATTATTTTCATAATCGATTAGTTGCCCGATAATTTTTTTAATTTAATCGGATGATTTAAAACAATGAAATACCATCTTTAATAATTTAAAAATATACAAATGGAGTGTTACAAAAAGAAAGTTTACTTCAGAATAAAACTGCATGCACAATTTTTTGCAATCACATTGCACTGGATCGCACTGAGGGTAGGAGGTGTGTTTGCACGCATTTGTGGGGGGTCTGGGGCTTTACTTTTTTTTGTACTTTTAAATTTATTTTATTTACTTTTATTTTTTTAAATTTTTTTGTTAACTTTATTTCTATCACATAGTGGGGCCCAAAAACCCCATATGTGAAGGCACATTGGAGATGACAGGTTCTCTTTAAGATGACTAGGATCAAATTGATCAGGTTCTCTTTAAGATGACATTGGGGTCTGTGAGACCCCTAGGGTCACCTTTCCACTTCTAAGGAGCTATTCAAGCACATATAGCCTGAATAGCTTCGGCCAGGGAATGTAAACACAGCAGGTAGTGGGTGTGTGCAATAGCCAGTTTGCTATTGGCTATTGCAATTTAAAATAGCCATTAGCAGGCTGGCTATCGCACCCGCTCACTGCCTGCTGTCAATCAGCAGAGGTGGGACCTAAAGGAGAAAGTTCTCCATCAGGTCCTCCTCTGCCGATTGACAGCAGGTAGTGGGCGGGTGCAAAAGCCAGCCTGCTATTGGCTATTTCAAATGGCAATAGCCAACAGCAAACTTGCTATTGCACACACCCACTGTCTCCGAGTCTCTCCGACCAGTACAGCAGCGCTGCACCTGACCAGCACCACCCCTCAGCCCCGATATCTGACAGCCGGACTCTGTCTTTTTTGATACCCGCTGTAGCTAGTGTAAGTAGTAGAATGTGACTTGGTATCTGCTTCCTGTAATCCCCAGCGCAGCAGCACTGGGAGATGAAGGGGCAGCAATAGGAGCCAATCAAGCATGCTGCATACACATATGCTGGCAAGAAACACACTGACTTATCAGAGTGTGGCTGCTTCTTCACTGTCCAATAAAAAGCTGGGGCTTTTAAAATGGCCGAACTGTATTGCTGCAGCAGAGAACAGAAGGCAGATCACCAGGCTGGCTATGCTGCCTGGCAAGGATGACTAAATCAAAGGATATAAGGACAGCTCTATTTTCCTGGAGTTGAGCTTAAGTAAATAGTAACATCTTCGGATAATGGACTTCCCAATATTGAAAAGTGATGCAACCTTGGTCTCTGCCTGGTCCTTGGTCTAGAGAATGTATTATCCAAATATACATAATGACCGTTTTTATTAACTGCCTATACTTTTAGTTTTGACAGTTGAAAAACAGGAAACAGGTGAAGGCATGCTGTATTGATAGCTTCTAGTAATCTGTTCTGGAAACACATGGAGACACATGATCTTGTATTGATTATAGCAGAAACATCCACGGTAGTAGATCCGTAATGCTGGGCTTCACAATAGCTCATGTCTCCATGTACCATTAGACAGCCAAACCTTGATGGATGTAATATGTCAGCTAACAAGCTGTCTATGAAATCAGCTACACTTGTAAAAGCAGAAACTGGGACAGCAGACAATAAAGGTGAGAGTGAAAGGAATATTTATTGGTTATCTAGTTTAGGAAACATACATATTTAGTTCAATAGTTGCATTTCGTCTCTTTCTTTGCAAATTTGACGTTTACCGGGTGTAAAACAATTAAATGTTTAGCCAACTGTCACAGATGCCTCTTAAAGAGGAACTTTACCGATATCTTCAAAATAACAACAAATACACCTTTAACCACTTCATGACTGAGGCCTTTTTTTCATTTTTTGTACCCATGTTATATTCCAAATTTTAGGCCTGAAAATTACTTAAAACCCCACAACATTATATATTTTCTGAATGACAAGACCCTATAGAATAAAATGGTGGTAGTTGCAAATTTTTATGTTGCGCAATATTAGCGCAACTCCTTATTAAATCCCAATATTTAGTGAAAAATTTAATTAAATGCCCCAAAACACATTAAAAATGTTTAGTAAGGGCAATCCACAAACATACAAACAGATACCTCTGGATAATTGCTGCCTTTGTATTCTATGCATACCATGTTTTTGTTTTACACCCCATGCTTCTCACAGTGGCCATTTTTACTCAGGGCAGATTAATCCATCTCCTTTTACTTCCTGGAACTCTGGCACATGTAACTAGGACATGTGACCATGCACATCATCTCAGGGGAGTAAAATAACTTTCCCTGAGATCTCATGAAATTACAGATGAGATTTCCCTGCAATGTACTGCTGATGTAACCTTCCCAGGATGCAATGCTTGGGCACGATTACATCTTTTGTGCCTAAGTGGATCAGGAAGTAGAAAACAAGAAATTGTAAGTAAACTGAAAATATGTTTGTTTAAATTAATCAATGTAAGATAATCTCATATCAGCATGCAGAGCTGTTTGCTTATGTGATTTTTAGCCAAAGGGGGTAAAGGTCCACTTTAAAGCACCCCTTTCTTGACCCTGCTTTCCCGTTCTATATTTATCTATTAGATGATTAACTAGTCAACTTATGACACCAAGGGGAAAATGCTGTTGCCAGGCCCCATGCTGGGAGCTGAAGAGTAACCCCCTTAAATAAGACCACCCATGACAGCCAAGCTGCTGTTTAGACCACGTGACAGAATATATGTATTGTAGGTTCTAGCCTTAACACTTTATAGTGTTGTGCACAGAGTGGAAGTCCATCAAGGACTTTGTGTATTCCAGATGCCATTTTGGTTTGAACAATGTGGCTGTAAGGCAACTGCAACACCAAGCCTCTGCTGCCCTTCTGAATTGGAGCAAACCATGCACCAAACGGTGGGTGGTGAATTAGGTTCCTTCAAAAAATGCAGCTAGCTGTTTTTGTTCCCTCACAAAGAGATTTGAAAAAAAACTGTATAGTCTTTCAAAAAAATTCACTTACCAATAGAAAACTGCAGAACTGATGCTGTAGTGGTGTTAAGGTTGGTTGTTAACTAAACAAAACAAAAAAAATCAAAGTTAGCTAATGTTTGTTTGGTATAAAATGGCAATATGAAAGTAAACTACTTGGACTCAATACAATAAAAATTGGCTAGGATATCAGGAAAAAGGGTGGCTTGTGCATACAATGCTATGAACAACACAAGTGTTTATAAAAATGCTATGAAACCAATAGATGAACATAGTAGTTAAACCGGTATGAAAAAATGGGGGGGGGGGGGTCAGAGCAAAGCCCCCTGGTAC